GTCCATTGTAGACATTACTATACAAGCAGGTAACGTTATTATTGCTAACATAGCGGACTCGTCGGAAAATACATTGGCATCATCACACAGCGTGGTTTTAAATCATATTTTTAGGGGGGACAACCCTCAGATGGGGGGTCCTGTCCTGTCCCCCCCTCCGAGATTTCCACCTATGATTGTGCTGTGTCCTGGTTGAGAAATGTGTCATTTCAAGCCCAGTCTAAAGTAAAGGCTGATTTATACTTCTGCGTCGGACCTACGCCGTAGCCTTTACGCCGTAGGCTATGCGTCAGTTTTCATTTATACTTCTGCGTCGTTGTCCGCGTCAACGTGCAGTACACATGCAAACCGCTAGTCAGCAGTGTCCACGGGCATGTTGCTGGTGTAACCCGCAGTAGTACCACGGCAAAAGCCGAAGAAGAAGCGGCTCGTTGGAGAAGCATTATAGCCGTGACGGCGGCAAATAAATATCAAATCATTAAATCATTATTTAAAACTACAAAAAGGAGACAACAGCGGAACAGGAGATGATGGCATTCTTTCAATCTGCACAAGGACTGCGTCCACGGCAGATCAACATTGTTTGTTGCGGACAACTACTGATGTATAATGCTGTGTAGTATAATAAATGATAAGACACTTGTTCTTTGCTTTGTTTTATTTTATATAAGAAGGTGTAACATTAAAATATATTAAAGTGTACATAAACACACACAAAACTCAAGTACATATGGAGGGAGGGGTTCTTGCAGACCAATCGCAGCGCTTGCGGTCTGCGTAGAATTGACGCGCTGTTAGATTTTTGGAGAGGTGCACGTCAGGCTACGGCGTATGGGTGTGCGTCTATGCGTAAGCTACGGCGTAGGTCCGACGCAGAAGTATAAATCAGCCTTAAGGAGTTGATGTTTTTTGCGGAGATGTTACATGTATGTATGGCCTATGTTTGGATTGATGCTAAGAGTTTAAGACCGTGTATTTGTATGCAATTTAGAAGGATTCTTTATTGGTCAGGTCACCACATCATAGTCCAGTTTGAATATGGATTTAAAGTTCTTTTCGATGTGGGACCATAGTCTGGACTATTTTTGACTGTTCCTGGTTATGAAGAGTCTGGTGTTTGTGAGCTGTGGCATGTTTTCATTAAAAGAGGTTGAATTATTCATGTGCTATCAGCCAACTTCAGCTATGGACAGTGTTTGGAAATTGATGTACTACAGGTAAGACTTTCGCACACATCAACTTTCACATTGCTTTGTTTGCTTTCTTTATTTTTTTTTGTACTTTTGTGTATTTACATTTTTGGCTATATGTAGCTGTATTAACCTGAATGAAATGTTTTCTATTTTGTATTTAATACATTTATTTGAAATCCCGTTTGACTACTGTACATTTTTGACAATACAGACATTAGTTATGTTGTGACTGCATCCATTTCAGATGTATAATAACTGTTTTCCCCAAAGACTTAAGTTATAGTAGCTGACAAGTATTTAAAGTGAAACAGTTGTATTGTTGTAGATCAGGGGTGCCCAACCCTGGTCCTGGAGATCTACCTTCCTGCAGAGTTCAGCTCCAACACTGATCATAATATTTTCAGACAGATGTCTAGCCGTCTTGTCTTTGTCTATATGTGTTCACTATTTCAACACTACTCAAGGATAATACATGTCTGTTCCCCAAAATGCACTTAAAGGTTAGGACTGCAGGAAAAATGGAAATGTTAGTTATCATTTATGATCAACTGATTTTAAGATTAATTTGAAAATGATTAAATGTAAATTTCCTTCACATATGTTTGATACATTCTTTACACCTTACACCGTTGTCTTATTCTAACAACAAATACCAGGCAACCAGACAAATACAACAACTTACTGACTGAAACACAAGAACTATATATTTTCTTTAAATACTACAGTGTAAAACCAAAATCGAAATTTTTGTTTTATACATTAAAAAATTATGATTTAAAATAAACATCTTTAATGAGAGCATGTTATATTTTATAATATATTTTAAAGAAAACATTTAAAATTACAATAATATTTCACAATATTACAGCTATACTGTATTTTTGATCAAATAAACGCAGCCTTGATAAGCATAAGACTTCTTTAAAGAAAGCATATGGTAACACTTTTTGATAGTCCACTTTAGACATTCTACTAACAGTAAGTAACTTTGCAACTACATGTCAACTAGAAGTCATTAGAGTATTAGTAGACTGTGCTTAATATCTTCTAACAATTTACTTTGATGGGCTCACAACATACAACATACTGACTATAAGAATCTTTGCAAGTATGTGTCAATTTATTCTACTAATCCTAAACCAATCACCTAACATTCTACTCTGAGAGTTAGTAGACATGTAGTTGCAAATTGAATTAGTTGACATGTAGTT